CTCGAAAAATATATTCAATGTGTAAAAAGGTCACTTGAGAAGAAGAAATCATGGTTGTATCAAAATAAACCTAAGAAGAGAAAAGGAAGTAAGATCAAGTACAGCGCAAAACCGCTTCTAGAGAATCAGTCGGATCAACAGTGGAACACTAGATGATGTAGATGAAGGAATCTTCAACTTGTATTCGATATTTTATCAATCTCATTTTTTTTAATATCTTTGCTTCTTCGGTAACGTGATTTAACATTTGCTATTAAAGTGGACACACAGAAAATATATCGCCTTAGCTAGACATTACTGTGCCAGTTTCAGTTATATTTCTTCTTTTCGAAAGAATTGCAAAAATTCCAAAATTGGTGTATTCAATATCCACAATATCAAATGATTTGAATTTTCATATATCAAAAGAATCTTGCAGTTATCAGTAGCTTAGCTTACCCAAATTACAAACAACAGACTTCTGCTAACTTTTTGGTTCTCCAACAACCAATCTTAAGTTTATACGTCAATATAAAGTCTTCAATAAAATTGTTGACCCTAATGCAATTCAGTTTTGAGTAAATTACCAAAAAATGTTGAAAAGCCCACTAAACTTTCCAACGTTTGGTAGTACAAACATGCCAAATGGAAAGATCATGAAGAGCATTTTCGGTCAACTCATTCAATATGTCCTCCTGAAAAATATTCAGAACTGTATACTGAAAATAGATTTAAAAACAAACATTTCTCCACTGGTAGGTATTATGAAGACCTAGACATCTTTAACGTTGACATACTGCATATGCACCAATGCTTGCTATATATACATAAAAAACAAAACCAACTATAAATTCCAACAAAACTATTCCAACAGGATTCATAATAATAATATCGTTTATTATGCATAAAAATACATTTATACATAAAAGGAAAATGGTTAGCCGAAGGCTATCTTCCACTCGTCCCAAAAATTATACAGTGAGTATAAGAAAAGAATTATAAACATACTTATTTACTATCATAACAATGATAGAGAAGAGAAAAAAATAATACATCATATAGTTGCTAATAACTCTTGATATTCTTAACATCATTTTGGTTTCATTGCAATACCATTGAATTTTAAATTTATTAAATTAGCACTGAGCAGTGAGCATCTGTGATTTTATTTCTTTCTTAAATTGATGGATATTACGATTTAAAAGGGATAAAATTTCATTCAGATGAGAAGGGGCTATATAAGAAAAACATCCTTGAAATTTGGAAGTACGGTGCCTAGATATGTTGAATGAGTTATTTCTCAAATTGACCATTTGGTTGTCAGAATGCCTGCTTAATAAACTATATAAATAACTAGGTGTTTTAGTTTGAAGCAACTCAAACAAAAATATTTTTATCAAATATTGGACTCTGTACCTCACATTCATCTCCTTCATTCAAAAAAAAATGGTGTGACATGTTCGCCATATACTATACAGCATACGAATCGCATGCAAGCATTTTGTATACGTCGTAACTTCTGCTTGTTACATTGCGGCAAAAAATTGTAATACACCGAACAACAATACTCGATATGGGGGCAAATAAAAGTTTTAATTAACCTGAGTTTCATTTCTTCTCATAACTGATACTGAATTTATATAGCGATTTGAGTTTGAAGAATGATACTTTGAAAATGTTTGTCACATATTCATCTTGGTTACGCCAAGATTTTTAGCACTGTCTACCCAGTCAATGTCTGTGTTATCGAGAGTGAGCCTAAAGTTACACTGAGTTTCTACTATTTGTCTTTGAGACCCTATACATAAGGCCAAAGTTTTATTTGGATTGATTTTCAATCCATGATTCTCCGATTATAGGAATGTTTTGTGCAAATCTGTGTTTATATTGGCCACGCAACTTTCTGTATCGGTGTTATGAAAAGACAAATATGGCTGTATATCATCTGCGTATAGATGTACTTGACAATGTGATAAGAAAGTGGGGTAATCAAAAATAAACACTGAAAACATCAAGGGCCCTAAAATACTTCCCTGCGGTACACCTGAGATTGTTTCTTTTAGGGATGACCATGAGTAATCATCCAGTTTGACCCTCTGTGATCGGCCTGTAAGATAGCTGGTCATCCATTTAAGAGAAATGTCGTCGAATCCTATGAACTTGAGCTTGCTGATGAGTAAATCGAAATTAACTAAATCCAAAGCTTTACTTTGATCAAGCAGTACTAAAATGGTGACTTTTGATTGATCTCTTAATCTCGCAAGATCGTCGATTACTTTCAAGAGGGCAGTCTGTGTTCCGTGTTTTTTGCGGAACCCACGTCTTTCATATAGGTCCAAAACTATATAACAACTACCACAAACAAGCTGATAACAAACACTCCTCAAGTTTACTGAGAGGTGTTTGTTATATCATTTATTCGTCAATGTTTTTATACAAAAAAAAATTCAAATTCCCAGACACGATCAGTTTGCAAATCTCCAAACATCAAAAAACATGAAAAAAATAATACCTTTCCTCGTGCAGAAATATGCACTAAGCATTTATGCTTAGGTAATTTCTGTACAGGATTATATAATCTGTAACAATATAAATTGTGAAAATGACAATTATGGAATGAATAAAGTTTGATTTGAAGACACTGGAATTATTCCGTCAGACATAGATGCAAATATTTGTTTTAAAATTATTGTTGATGTAACTATCACTAACGAGAGGATGGTATATTTCCAGCTCTTCTTCAAAATGGATTGAAAATAATTTTACCCTTTACTCATGGAATTGTATAGAGCCAGTCTATATACCACCCAGTTACATCCTTCCTCTTGAAAGGACTTGAGAGGATACTGAAAGGATACATCAGTAGGGTGGCATTATAAGCATCCCCCCTGAATAACCACCAGTATGCTTATCAAACCAGCAAATCGACAGATTTAGCAGTAAGCAAGAGTGTAGAGAAAATTACTAATCCCTTGACAACAAGGAGCATTTGACAATGCACTACCTAGATCTATAAGATCATCTCTGACTAGGAAAGGTATAGAGTCGACCATAACTGGCTGGATCTGTGCCATGCTGGTAAACAGAACTGCAACTACGACTCTTCCAGGCGAGGCCATTAGGTTCACGGTCATCATAGGCTGCCCTCAAGGTGGGGTACCATCTCCCCTTCTGTGGTCGCTCCTGATGGACAGTCTGCTTGATGCCGTCGACAGAAGAAAAGGAGATCTGCAAGCTTATGCAAGATAACTTTGTCATCTTGGCAAGGTCCACGTCGGAAAGGGTAGTTTGTAATATCCTCAAAAGCATGATGGACGTTGTTCACAGTTGGTGCCTGAGGGAGTAGATGCCTGTCAACCACAGCAAAAAGTGATAATCCCCTCCACCAGGAGAAGAAAATTGGACGATTTAACGCCACTTTCTCTCAATGGTGGGGTCATTCCATTTGAAACGGAGGTGAAATATCTGGGCATTATCCTTGATGAAAAACTCACCCGGAACGCTCACTTGGAAAAAGTTTTACACAAAGCCAGATTGTCCCTATGGAAATGTCGAAGGATTTGTGGGAAACTTAGGGTTTGGGGCCCGAACAAATCCATTGGATTTATGTGATGATTGTCAGATGATCACTTATAGTGCAATTGTCTGGTGGCCTAAGGCTTTACAGAAAACGGCTCAGGTGAAGTTCTCTGGTTCACAGAGACAGGCTTGTCTAGATATCAGTGGTGCCATCAGTACCACACCGTCAGCGGCCATGGAAATCCTTCTAGATCTACCTCCCCCCCAAATTTCTCTGGAGAGAGAGACTAGATAGACTGCATATAGACTTGTATACTTACCATTTGCACAAATCAATTTAATGCAGAGTGCAACAGACTGTTGGTTGACACTGGAAGTCACAGCATTCTGGCCTCTGACTTTATACCTCCAACTGTTACCTACGAACTGCCTTATAAAGTACTGTTCCCGAGTAGAGAGGACTGGATCCTCCAGGAGAAGGAAATATTAATAGCAGATAGTTGTTGGTTCACAGATGGATCAAAAACACCTTCAGATTCTGGTGCAGGTGTTTTCAGTCGCAGATCCAGGACTCTAATATCATCCTGCGGAAATTTACGCTATTGAATTGTGTGCGGAGAGATTGGAAGAATCCAACCTCATACACATGTCAATGAAAATATTCTCGGACAGTCAAGCGGTGTTATAAACTTTTGGCTCCTACCAAGCAACGTCTAAATTGCTAGCAAATTGCCAAAATTGACTCTCCTCGATAGGAAAACTTAACAGATTGTCTCTGGTCGGGATTCCTGGACAAATTGGCCTGGAAGGCAATGAAGCTGCTGACTCCCTTGCAAAAGAGGGACCAGAACCTTTCATTGAATACCTGGATAGCGAGAATATTTATGAACTTCCGGCAGAATCTTCCAGCTTAATAGCTGGGAGCTTAATAGCAAACAGTTTTTGGACTATAGTAGGAATGAACTACTATGTCTAACAGGCCTTCTCACACGTTACTGTTATGTGAATCTTCATATGGAGAAACTTGGACTGTCGGAAGACTGTTTGTGCCTGCCCCGCTGGGGACCGAATCAGATTTTCAGAGTTCGACAGAGCCGTACTCTTACCATCTGCACTGAAAGACCACTCACCATAAAAACTAATCGGCTTCGTTAAGGAGCTGGGTTTATTTGGTCGAGTGTGAATAGGTGTGAGCCACAATAAACCCTTGCGAGTTACGGTGGAGGTTGGAATAGACTTACTCGTTTTGGACCTAACCTAACCTAACTACTAAACGAGATAAATCTTGAGTTTTTGGTAGAAATGTGTCGGATAGTTTTCAAGATGGAATGAAAAATTAAAAAAATGGGTTTTCAGTTTTTCTGATTGTCTCATATGGATATATTCTGCTATTTTCGAAAGAAAAAACTCAAGTTGGATGAAAACAATGTAGAAGCTGATATCTGTACAGTAGGTAGGTCTGGATTCGTATCATTCACTTGACGAAGGAACATTCAACATACAGAATGCCTGAAAATAGATAAGTCGCAAAGGTTTCGAAATGTAACTTCTACTTACCACGTTTTCTCAAGTAATCTTCTATCATAACAGCGCTGATCATGAACACGTTCCCAACACTTCCCAATGTTGCGAGAGAAGCAAGCAGTATCAGCCTGGCAAGTCTCGACCAGTGGTCGCTCAGGGTAACAGGAGAAACTGATTCTGTTGGCAAGGCATTTGTAATATTCAGCAGAACCATCACTGTGGCACCTGGAAATGAAAAGAAATCTGGATCAGAATAAAAGAATTATCAATTTCATTGTTTCAATGTTGTAATCAAACGATTGAGTGAATCGATTGATGCGTGCTTCAATCAACTGCAATCAGCGCTCCCACCAGAAATGGGACCAGTGCACACTTGTTGTTCGTTCGCTGGTGGTTCATTTCGGTGAGCAATGGTTACGAACACGGTTTTGGTCTTCCTCTCCCTCACATTGATTACCCTCAAGCGGAAAAAACAACAGAAAAAGAAACGACGGTGGTCGAAGGAGTGGTACATGGTAATGATGCAGTTTTGTTGTTTCTGTTGTAAAAGTCCTTGCTCTTCACTTTCCATAATTCCGGACAATCGCGATATAAGTCAATCAACAGGTTAATGAATTCCCGCTCAGAGTTTTCGGGAAGCTCACTTTCCATAGCAGACCTCATGGTTTCCACCTAGTGACTGACGCAATGCTTGACGAACATTTCCCTAGACGGTCAACCCCCTCCTTCAACCGCTTGAGTCATTCAAACTTTCTATCAATCACCATCAAGCCTCGCTTCAAGCGTCAAACAGGTTACTACACCGTCAATCACGCGTGAGTCAATCGATTGACTCAAGCTTTTGATCAAAATGATTGACCGTCTAGGGCCTCTTTTTATGTTTCGCATTACCATTTGTTGTTGAATAATTTTGATTCATAGCATTTCAGTTCCAAAACAAAGACTTTTCCCAATCACCCGAAATGCCATACTCTTTTAAAGGCACGTTCTACCAACTAACTTGGCGTCTTCAGGAGATGAGGAAAAGTCACGTCGACAAGAGTATCCCATTTCTGGGGATTGGGAAAAGTGCTTGTTTCACATTGAGTTTACGCCAGAGGTTTCAGTTTCACCTATTATCAGCATTGAAGTTGATACTGAGAAATTGTTACTGAAAGAAAATAGGAAACACGATCATTCATTAAATGATTGCAGGCAAAATGAAAGATCTAGGAACTGGTATTCTGTACTATGGCTTACAAAAATTGAAGGATCAGCTGGTCAGAATATACCACAATATACTTTCGAGAATATTCACAAGATAATCAATAACCAAACAGAACCTGAACGAAGTCTGTTTCATTTTTTTCAAAAGATGTTTATTTGGTCATCACCTTTTTTGTGTCGTTTTCAACGTAGTCACCTTCAGCTAAATACAATTGTGAAAGCGTTTCTTTCAAATCCTCGAAGCAGTTCTGATATGCACTTTTTAAGTATGTCTTTGAAGTCTCTCAGCGATTCGGTTTTTATCTCCTCAATCGTTGCAAAACGCCATTCTTTTATGGGTCTCTTCGATCTTGGAAACAGGAAAAAGTCAAATGAGGCCACATATGGTGAATACGGTGGCTAAGGCATGATTACGGTAATGTTTTTGGCCAAAAAATTTAGAACGAGCAATAACGAATGAGTAAGTGCATTATCGTGATGCAAAAGCAATTTCCACAATATCGGAAACAATAAGGAGTATTATCTTGACCATATTATTATTGACTATTCGACCATGTGGCAAAAACAATGAGNAATATTTCATTTACGGACCAAGTAAATTTTTCACAAGATACTTATATGAACTTTCACAATGACCATTTTCGGGCCGACAAAAATCCCCATGTTATTAAAGAAAATAATTTTCAGCAACAATTTTCGCTGAACGTTTGCGTAGGAATGATTGGTGACTACCTAATTGGCCCATTTTTCTACCAGCACAGGTGTATCCTACACGGACTTTTTGCGAGGTCGTTCACCCATTTTGTTAGAAGTGTCGGTACTTGTAAAAGGCAACATGTGGTTTATGCACTTTTGGGCTCCAGCTCATTTCAGTTTTCTTACTCGTCAGCATCTCGACATCACCTACCCTAATCACTGGATTGGACGTGCAGAACCTCAAAATTGGCCAGTTCGCAGTACTGATATGAATCCTCTAAATTCCTATTCATGGAGTCATCTGAAGGTTCCTTTTTGTAAAACTTCTATACTAGATTTGAATGACTTGAGGAATCGAATAATTGACAATTGCAATGTCATAAGGAGTAATCCCAGGTATTTTTGAACGTATCAGACAATCGGTGACTAATCGATTGTAGTCGTGTATTTTATCAGAAGGTAGACATTTTGCTCATTTACTTTGTGGTCGGAATTGTTTATTATTTACTTTTGATTTTTATTTTATATTGTCCATGGATAGTTTCTTAAAAATTTTCCACAAGAAAAAAATTCGAATAGCAGGCCATGACTTCGTATCTGAACATAACTTTTAATTCTAAGCAACTTTTCTCTTCAACATATTTCTATATTTTTTGAAATAAGGGTACTTTACTCCTGAACGAACTTGTCATGTTTGTCATAAAGCCATTTCAGGTACACTTGATATAGTTTTGGAACATGCAAATCTCCAACCTTTCTTCGATGTTCCAGGCTATCAGGGTTGCACGTCAGGAGTCATCCATGCTGGATGCAATCCAACAGCTTCAGGATATGGTTAGGGGCAGAACTCCATACATGAGAACAATAATTCAAAGAAAGTCTGATCTGAGCTTTATAAAGCATCAAAAGTTGTTGAAGTGTGTACAGTTTTTTGGTTCGGAACAGTGCTTCAAGCTTTTGAGAAGCATCCTCTGTAATTCCACCGACATGATTGTGCCAAGACATATTGGTGTCCATTTTACCCCCCAACAAACCTATCGAAGCAGAAAGCGGAATTTTCTGACCTAACATTATTATATTCGGTTCGGGGACATCCTTCTTCTTGAACAAAACCTATGCATTGATTTTCCGTGGCTTTGAATTGAACTTCCCCCACCCCAATTCGAAATCACCTCTAAATCCTCGATAGAGGATATGCAACCTCGGGCTGCCGGTGAAGATGTGCATCCGCAGCCGATGGCCTGGAATACAAATGGTATGACGAGACAAGCGTGCTGTCGTCAGCAAAGCCATATATTGGATTCTTGCTTTTTCCAATAAGTCGTTGATATACAATAAAAAGAGGGTTGGAGACAATATGAATCCCTGAGGAACACAAGCAAATCTGGATCGTCGTTGACGTCCTCATCCTATATCCTCACCAACTTTTCTAATAATTATTCGATGATCCTCAATAACATTTTTCTTCACTTCCTCAACATTTTTATCGTCTGTCAATGTGCTCGTATGTCTATGGAAAACTGCCATATATTTGTTTTTTTTTGTGTAGGTACATGAGAAACTTTCATCAACGGTGAAACAAATAATTTTTCTGAAAAAAGTATTTTGGGTTGCTATTTCTCAATCTCCATACAACAATATTTCCTTTCATTTAAAGTTTGAAGGAGTATTCACAGAGGTGATTTTTCAGTAATATTTTAGGTACAACAATTCTCTCATGTAGATTTTTTGTTTGGAACTTCATTTGTTTCGGTATGCTATCTTGTGAATGGAAACACATACATTATATACACATACATATATACATACATATAAAAATACATATATACAAAAAATACATATACATACAAACATATATACATCATACATACGTACATACATACATACATACACAGATACATACATACATATATATACATTTACACATATACATACACATACACATGATATACATACATAGATACATGCATACATACACAACATGATATTGAACATGATATAGAATAAAAGCGGATTTTCAACTCTTCATCTTAATAAAGTCATTTTCCAATCAACTGGAAGTATTGAGCTCACAAGTTCACTTTTTCCTTGCATCCACCTTTTTAAACGAGATCAAGTTAATTTTATAATACGGAATTAAAACTCAACTCAATTTTGAAGTAATTTCCTGAAAGTAATCAGGCTAAAGGGTCCTTAATTTGAAAAGCGTCTTCAAGAAACAGCGGAAAATATTCTTGTGGATTTGATAATTCTAGTTGTAATGTAAAAACTGATTGAAAATAAGTCTTCCGAATAAACAGCCCAAGATTTCAATATTCCAATTGCAGTTTCCATTATTTTAACCTACTAATTCTAATAGGCTGAAAACTTCAGTTTGTATTCCAAACATTCATGATAGAATAAAATCAAACTGAGTAGAGAAAAGTAACTTCTGTATAATTCAGTGTTCACATAAAAGTATTTGTTTCGAAAGATTTTTTTCTTTCGTGTAATTCAATGTTTATATGAAAGTAGCTGTTTCAGGAGGACTTTCT